GGCAGTGCCAGCAGTTTCAGTTGATTTATTGATGGATTGGACATATTTTTGCTCGGGGGAGCACTTGGCTTTCCCGGAAGGGGGCAGTGTCCCCCGGAGATATAGCTGAAAGAAACCCTGGCTGGGATTCTGCCATGCCAAATAGCCATTTATATCCAGTACACCACTATATCATAAGCCATGGCATAGAAGATGCCGTAGCCCCCCCCCCCCCCATTAAACTTCTAATCATTTTTTTAACACTGGGTTTGTCATCTCAGAAAAAAAATAATCAGACAAATATTCGGCATGCTCAGGAGTGTGTTTAGGTAGGGGCACCTTAGCAACAAACCCCAACCTTTTAAATATATTTATTTTGATGTTTTTCTTTGAAGTAAAATGTTGTAGGCATGATAACATTTTAAAAGGCTGCACTTTGGCAATGGTTTGCATTTGATTGTGCTGTTCATATACTTTAACTTCACAATTCACAAGACAGACACGCTGTCACTAAGTTATAGACAGCGGAGCCGCCCGTGGGGAGATCAGCTATTTGTTCATCTATCTGATGAATTGGATCTTGAATCACGACATTAGTAATTAGTCACGAACTGTTTGTGTAGCCGCGCATGTTTACACTCGGGACGTTGACAGTAATGAGGGCCGCGAAGCCATCTGTTATCAAGTCTGCAGCGGAAGTCGAGAGAGTCACGTGATGCGCTCACTCTGAATAATTATCATCTGCCACAGATGATGTATGTTGGGGGCTCGTTGTTTCTGATGGTTTTCTTTTTTTTTTTGTGAGTGTTGGTCTCTCTGATCCCAGCTGGCGCGTGATAACAGACCCCCGAGTGTCTGACATCGGCTACCAATCATCACAGGGCGGTGTGATACAACAGGAAATATAGTGCGTCATATTTGGATGTCAGGTGGATCAGGATTGGAAATTTGCTGTTCTAATTTATATCTTTAGTATACATATTTTTTTTAAAAGTAACAGTTTAGTTTCAAAGCCATAATTCATTCGGATTTTAAAATCTAGTGCAAGGATTCGTGTATGTCAAAGTGTTTATCTCTTTTCATCATTCAAAATAATCACCTTTTGTTTTCTGTGAGTTGTCCTTGACTTAAAATTTAAGGACTTTTTTGATCGTTTTTTTTTTTAAAGTTTATCGAAACAAATTAATTCAAAATTATTTTAAATTAAATTATACATGTAGATTTTATGGTAATTCTTCATTGTTTTTTTTTTGTATTTCTTCATTTATAAATTTATTTTTTTTCATAAAAAGAAAATGTAAACGCTAGTAGATTTTCTTAATAGTGTCATCAAACAATTGAAAAAAAAAAATAAATAAATATATTTATGAAAATTATCTTTCACAACTTGATTTTGTTTGAAAATTGTATTTTTATTTTTTAAATTATCTACGATATTTTGGTACAAAGAAAGAAAGGTCGGTAGCCAAGTTTTCAAGGAAGTCCATTTGTGGGTGTACGGTGTGAATTAAATATGTTTTGTTGTTTTTTCATCAATTATTCCTAAAATATTAAGAAACTCCAGGTTTTTGTTTTTTTTTTGTTTTTGTTGTTGTTTTTTTTTTTTTGGTTCTTTTGGAACTGTTTTTTTTTCTTGTACTTATAAGAGCAAAGGCAACGACCCTTTTTGACATTTTTTTTTTTTTCTTAAATTTTTATTTTTTTCTTGTTTTTTTTTTTTTTTTTTTTTTTTTTTTTTTTTTTTTTTTTTTTTTTGGTACTTTTGGAACTGTTTTTTTTCCTTGAACTAATAAGAGCAAAGGCAACGACCATTTTTGACATTTGAAAACAGAATGTTATTATGATATATAGTTCCCAACATTCTTCAAGTCAACAGAGGCAAGTGACAAAGTGCAATTTAGCAGTTAGGCTTTATGTACAATAAAATGTATCCGTCCTGTACTGGGAGACAATTTGAACTTACATAGCAACAACAAAGGTTTAATTTAATGACCACCATGGTATCGCATCATAAACTGCTAGTCTCTGGTCATCGGTCAACCGTGCTTGATGCTATGTAGAATTTATGAACCAATTGTAGATTCCCATCTATATATATATATATATATATATATATATATATTATATCTCAGAAGACTAAAGTCGTTCAACCATGGCGAGCTGGGGCACCACGGGACCATGCGTGACGTCTTTCTTGACCTGCATTGAACCCAAAGTTTTGGGGGGCGGGGTTTCTTTTCATTGATCACACGCGTGACGAAGGTCAGAGTTAAGGTCATCTTAGCACCGAGTGCCCGGGTGACAACTGACAAACACAAGAACGTGGGGGTGTGTATGTGTGTATCGTGTGTTTATCACAACTCTACTAGACGTGTTTACTGAACAGCAGTGAGACCGCCTTGTGAATTTTAAATGGCATTTCTTGAAAATTTTGGAATGCTATTTTTTTTTAATATATACGAAATGTTTATGTTTGAGATGCTGCTTTCTTGGAGTATGCTTTCGTGGAATTCTTAAGACAAAGGTAACGAAATGCGAATCACATTATTGAATGCCATGCCCAATCACATTATTGAATGCCATGCCTATGAAGAACCTCGGGATTTTCAGTCCGTCGTTTTAAATATTGGAGTTGATATTTATCGCATTTCTCGTTTTTTTTTAAAGAATAATTTTGTTTTACCCGCCGATATCCAAACATGAAAACCAACGGTTTGGGCACCAGCAGCGACAGCTGCACCTCCAGCTGCACCTCCAGCTGCACCTCCAGCTGCACCTCCCGCTGCACCTCCCGCTGCACCTCCACCACCTCCACAATGTCCGTGACAGACTGTCACAGCACGGCTGACATCTCGACATCTGTCACACCTACTCCATCTTCTCGGTTTTCACATGTGATGTCCAGCACGTCCCACACGGGGGACTCAGCCTCATCGTCGGAGACGCTTTCGTTTTCGGCTAAGGCTGAAATTTCCCCATCGACTGTTTTCCTTTCACCCACCTCTCCGCTGCCACTGGACACTAGACTTTCACCCACAGTCTCTAGCGCCAACTTCAACCCGATCGTCACAATCACAATGCCAGAGGAGGAGCCACAGAAAACAAACTCGGAGGCCGCATCGTCTCAGTCACCACCATTCCAACATTCAGAAACGCCAGCGGCTGACCAAGCCACCGCCGAACTGACCGCTCTGACGCAATCTCAGCCCGGCATTGAATTCCTTGAGGCGGCCAGCATCTCTGACGTGCCATCCACCAGCGGAAGTCGTGAGTCGTCTGTAGAAGTCCTTGACTGGACCCCCAGTGAAGCCCCTCCCGTGAGGGTGTTCAAACCGCCACCGTTCAGGCGCGTCATCAGTAACCTTGACCCCATCCTGGAGCATGAAGACATGGGAGGGGAGAAAAACCTGCGACGAGTCAGTAGGTGAGTACATACGACTATGCATACTTATCTTAACGTCTTTGTCAGCATGCTTAACGTCTTTGTCAGTAACGGCTTAGGATTTCCGTCAGTTTCAATCAATGTCAGAAGGGTAATCTTAAAAAAAATCAGTTTTGAAAAAAACATTATTTTATCAATTTCTATTTGAACGGTTCTTCCATTTAGACATCTAACTTAGTGTCCCGTAACAGGCAGACATTTTCCACTTTCTGTCTCTGGCAGATCTCTTTTTTCATTTCGTATCCGTCATTCTCTCTTTAACGTCCTCTCTCTCCTCATCTTCCTGTCTCTTCTCCATCTCTCCCTGTCTATCTATCTTTCTTTTTCGTTCTTTCGATCACTAACTCCTTTATTTCCCTGTCTCTTCTCCATCTCTCTCTCTCTCTCTCTCTCTCGCTCTCTATCTTTCGTTTTCATTCTTTCGATCACAAACTCTCTCTATCTTTCTGCATACCATTTTGTACCTCTGTATCACGTTTTAATGTATGGCTGTGTGCATTATTTTGGTTTAACTGTCTATATGTTTTTATTTTTGTCTGTTGTAAAAGTCTGTATATCTGTATTTCTTCATTTCTGGCTCTATCTCTATTTCTCGCTTTTCCTCCCTGAATTTCACAAAATGTAAGTGGCATCTACAAGAAAATCCCTCAAACTCAGTAGCACTCTACCAAACATAGTCTATCTGTAACTCTACATCTCTTTCTCTGCTTTCACCTCGGCAACACCAGTCAGTCAATGAACTTCACTGGATCTCCCAGTAGTGGAGAAATAAATCTCTAAGATAAGCTGTTTCAAAATCTGCACTGTTCTGTCTCTGTTAGTACCTGCAGTCTTATTTTAGCCAGTGTTAATATCCTCATTTTAGCATACTAACGTCCCGAGTCACGCTTCATTGCGCGCGATTCATTTTCACGCTTGAATTGAAGTCTGGTATTTGCATTACGCCACCTCTGCACTTTAGTAAGTCTCAGACCCAGCCTGGCATCTACTGTGCAACAAAACGTACACATACGTCGTGTGGATTCAGTCGGATAATCCATTGGTCTATTGATCAAAAGCTCCCAACCGATTCGTTCAAAGAAAACAAGTTGTTGTTTTTAAAATAGGACGTCATGTTTACACGTGAAACATAGCATCAAGCAGATCAAGGGATTAACGTGCGAATCAAAATATAGAATCACGATCTTACTTGAACAAACGACGTGGGTCTGGCACTGCTGATTTTTAATATAGTTAAGTCATTCAACAATACCAGCTTTTTTTTTTTAAACGCAGTGGTTCCAGACCTGTGCTTCCCTGGTCAAAAAAAAGTTGATAGCACTGCCTTAGCGTATAAGTAAACACACGCAAAATCTTATGACAATTGTGTAATTCGAATTTATTTTGTTTCCCTCCGCAACAGCCTGACTGCCTTAAACAGTACCGTCTCCAGCATACCAAGACCGGCAACCAGCCATGCAAGAGAGGAGGCAGTGCGGAGAGTTCGGTTTTACATCGGGGCGTCCAAAAAACGGTCGCACCGAATCAAAATGGCGGAGAAGATCCCCGAACCAGAAGACCCGCCAAAGGAGTTCCAGAGGTCAAGGATGTCCAGCTTTAAGAATTTTTTCCGGGGCAGCAGCAAGCGGAAGAAACGGAAGTCTTTGGAGGAGGCGCATGAAAACTTGAGAATCGACGGGACCGTGATCAAGAGGTCATCCCCGGTAGCGATCGTCGTGAACCAGGGTGCATCGGCAGACGATGCCCGGGAGTCCGCGGAACCGGAACAGCACGTGATCGTCTCCCCGGGAGAAAACGATGACCTTGAGGAGCTTGACCTGGTAGAAGACAGTTCATTCTGGAAGCCCAGAGATTTCAGCTTCCAGAGGTCCCACAGCACCAAGTCCCGGCTGAAGCCCCTGCTGGAGGACGACGACGACCTCGACACGCACGTGATCGCGAGGAGCTACACGGACGCGAACCTGCTCTCGCACTACCCGGCCTTTCTGATGAGACCGCTCCACGCCCACCGTGATGCGTCGAAGGAGCATGGGGATAAAAAGAAGGGGAGCTCTGCCAGTGACGACTGCGGCGGCGGCTCTCATCGTCGCGGGGTGTTCAGCCGGAGGTCCCACCGGGCCGGCGACCATGCACACGCGGGGTCGAAGCATGGGAGACAGGCCAAGGGAAGTCATCGGGACAGCCTCCGGAGACACGTTGTGCAGCTGCTGACAAGGCGCAAGTCAAAGAGCGGACACGCCACATCCCAACAGAGCTTACATCGAGGGTTGGTGGCTTAATTATCTAATGTGCTGTTGCTGGTGTTGTTGTTGTTGGTGGTGTCGTTGATGTAGGTGGGGGGTTTTTTTGGTTTCTTTTTGTAATTTTTTCTAATTTTTTCTTGGTCCGTATTTAGAAATCAGTTTGTGCCCCGCCCACTCAAAGAAAAAGCTGACCATCACGCACGTGTCTTTTTACTCTTTTGAAAATGGTCGGACCTATCGACTGGACATGTTTCGTCTTCAAATGCGTAACGCCGATTGGTCCAATAGCAGCATACGCTATTTTCCATTCATTGGGATATGATTAGCGCCTTTGATTAAGAGCAACGTGTTCAGTTAACTTAAGGAATATCATTACACATTGACGCCCTAATTAAGCTTTATCCCGAACTCGCCACGCCACTGTGTTCGGAAGCCGGCTGTTTCCGCCCTTGTACAAATATCTAAGTATGTCAAGACTTAGTTTCTTACTCGTTTAAACGCCCTATATCGTTGCTAACCAACGACGAATAGCCTGGTTGGGCCAAACCTCGGCGAAATGCCCTGGTGGTGCCGGCCTCGGGGAAATGCCCTGGTGGTGCCGGCCTCGGGGAAATGCCCTGGTGGTGCCGGCCTCGGGGAAATGCCCTGGTGGTGCCGGCCTCGGGGAAATGCCCTGGTGGTGTCGCCCTCCGTTAAAGACCATGGTTGTGCCAACCATGATCGAATGCCCCATCGGTGTTAATCTCGTTTCAATCCCCTGCCGGTGCGAAGCCATTAGCCGAGAGACACACATAAAAATAATCGCATGTGACACAGTTGTTTCATGACTTGTGTTAATGACCATCAGCTGCAGCGGCGGCTCGTTAATTACAACTGCCATTGACATGTCAACAGCACCAACTCTTTGACCTGCCTGGGACATTCAGTAGCATGAATGGTGCAGGAGCCAACGTGTGTAATGATCATCACCTCATTGAATGAAAGGCTATGACAATTTGAATGAAATCTCATTTACTGTAATATCGGTGGGGGTTTTTTGTGTGGTTTTTGTTGTTGTTTTTTTAAAATCATTTCAATAAATGTCGCTTTTGTTCGTGGCTGGCTCGCTGGCAAAATCTTCCGACAGCGCATTGACCAACTCTACGTCAACATATCGAGCTGAAACTTGGCCCATAGACCCGTTGCCGATGACAACACAATCTTTCACGTTTTCAGCCCCCACCCCAAAACCCAACGCCAACCCCCCCCCCCCCAAAAAAAAAATCAGCTTTTTCCTGTTTTACAAGGAAAGATGAAGGAAATATGATGACACTGATTTCACGAAATAAATTCCCGATAACTGTTCTAAATGGTATTCCTTTTTTTTTTAAAATATCGTCACTGCATTTTGTTCGTATTATTTCTTTTATTTTTTTCTGAAATAGTTGATGAAATAAATCTGCGGTGTAGAAGCGTGTGGGTCTTTAGAATATTAATATAGTTCAGGGGCGTGAATAAAATGTGCGGTTGCGAGCCTTGGGGGAGGGGGGACTAATTGGGATTCTTATAAAGTGCGTTACTTGTGTGCACGTTTTGTCACATTTTCAGCCCACACCACATGGTGCGATGTTACATTCTTTAAAGGATTTATACGAAACATTTTGGGGAGTGGGTGGGATTTTTGGGAGTGGGTGGGATATTTGGAGAGTGGGTGGGATTTTTGGAGAGTGGGTGGGATTTGTTTTTGGAGGAGTTGGTGGGATTTTGGAGGAGTGGGTGGGATTTTTGGAGAGTGGGTGGGATTTTTGGAGAGTGGGTGGGATTTATTGGGAGTGGGTGGGATTTTTGGAGAGTGAGTGTGATTTTTGGAGAGTGAGTGTGATTTTTTGGGAGTGGGTGGGATTTTTTGGGAGTGAGGGGGATTTTTTTTGGTGAGTGGGTGGGATTTATTTTCGGGGAGTTGGTGGGAATTTGAGAGTGGGCTGTTTTTTTTTTAAAAATTGTTTAACGGAAACGCGGGATTATGCTCTCGGGCGGTGCATCCATTTTCTGGTGTCTGGCTTCCTGTCTTGTCCAGAAAAATGGACTTTGGACTTCCCGTTGCGTGCCTGTGTGCTGTTGTCGCGTTACGGCCACAAAGCCGTTAATACTCTGTCTGCATCCCTGGCCATGGGAATCTTTTTTTTTTAATTTTTTTTTTTTTACTATTTTTTTTATAAAATAGGATTTTTTTATTGATCCAAATAAAATGGAAATGTTTTGTTTTTCTTTTTATCGGCCACAAAGTCGTTAATTCTCTGTCTGCATCCCTGGCCATGGGAATTTTTTTTTTTTAATTTTTTTTTTTTACTATTTTTTTTATAAAATAGGATTTTTTTATTGATCCAAATAAAATGGAAATGTTTTGTTTTTCTTTTTAAATTACAGGGTACATAGTCATTTCCAGAACATAGATACATCGCCTACATATTTTCTTTGTTTCTACATCGCATGCCAGGGGAAAACACTGATATGAATGACGTAATAAACAATATGCATCATACCACCTGTGGAGCTAATACGTCGTATAAGATTTTGGAGGACTCGGACAGCAGAATCTGTTTTACTTCCTTAACAGATCAACCCACTCGAGTTGGCTAAAGGTGGAGGTTAAACAAAAAAAGTCATCCTCGGTTGAATTGCTAAAAATAACTTGTTTTCCCCGTGTACTCTGGTGCATTGGTTAAGGGCGCCAAAACCAGGAACCGGACCAGGGTGTCGCAAGCTTTAGCCACTCAACCGGCGTAACCCCGTAGCCTCGTAGCATTTCGTGCACAAAATGAATAACTGTTTTGCTCTTTTATCATTTACACAATTTCTTATCAATTGCTCCCATGATGAATGTCGATAGACACATGTGGATTTGTGTACGGTTTACGTCTAACGCAATAGGTAGAGGATTAATTCATTTTGGTTTATTCACTAACGTTCCAACGACATGAACCAGAAAGCCGAATGCCATCGACCGGACGATACAAGGGAGACAACGTGGGGGGAAGATTGACCAAGAACAGGGGGGGGGGGGCAAACACACATACACACTCACGCACGCACAAAAGCCAACGTTGGGTATTAATCGTGCGCTGCCGCGTCGCATTCGCCGGTTCGTGCCATGGTATTACCACATCGGTGGCAGGACCGGCAGGATTATCTGGCCGGTGCCCGGACTCGTGACACTCGGAGGCTTTTCAACGTGTTGATCCGAGCAGAGCCTGTGGATATGGTACTGGCAGCCAGGTAGGGTGTGTGTGTGTGTGTGGAGGGGGCGGGGGAGCAGAATCACTGTGTATAATTGTTCTTGAAAATGCCTGCCTTTTTTTTTCTGACCACCAACAACCAATAGCGTTCATTATTTCTAAGGATTTGATGTGTTTTTTGTTATTTATTTATTTATTTTTATTTTGAAACTGTCAAATTAGTGTAGTATAATAACTGTATCACATGACCAGTACTTAACTACTCCACGGATAAGGCATCAGAAGCGCCGCCGTAAAGAACAAAAAGAAACGAAAACCAAATTTAATTGAAAGCCGCGTTTGCCTAACGGAAATTTTGACTAGCATCAAGAAATGGTAGAGTGAGTGGGCGAGAGGGGGGCTGTAGGTCCCTACATCCAACAACCACTGGCACCAGTCTTGTAATGACGTTGTTGAAAAGCTGGCCTGCTGGCCTCTGTTTGAGAGTACTGCGGAACATCAGGAATGACCCCATGGGAGTGCTTGTTGACAGCGTGGGCCTAGAGAGAGAGAGGCAGGGGTGTACAAGTTCTCCCTTGTTATATTAATGATAATATCACGCCCCTCCTGCCCCCTTCCCCCCTTCCCTCCCCTCGGGGGACTTGTTACTGGGGTTCAAGGACCAGGTCATAGGGGCGATGATGTGGTGTTTATTTAATTTAGAACACCACTTCCAAGGTGTTGGTGATTTGATAGCTCGTCACTTAAGGGTTGTTGGGGGGGGGGGTTGTTGTTGTTTTTCCCGTGAAGAACAAATCCTTCAGCGCATCAACTACCCTACACCCTTTGATCAATTATTAAGATTCCGAATTCGGGACTCCATCCCCTTATTGACCAGGTAATAGGGGCGATGATGTGGTGTTTATTTAATTTAGAACAGCAGTTCCAGGGTGGTGGTTATTTGATAGCTCGTCACTTAAGGGTTGTTGGGGGGGGGTTGTTGTTGTTTTTCCCGTGAAGAACAAATCCTTCAGCGCATCAACTACACTACACACTTTGATCAATTATTAAGATTCCGAATTCGGGACTCCATCTCCTTATTTGATACCAGAGATTTATCTTTCCAGGGTCATTGTTTTTGCTTGTACTTGTATTTTTTGTTCTGTTGTTGTTTTTTTTTGTTTTTTTGCTGTGCTGTAGATTGAACCACCAGACTTGAACATTGGTGATCGCACAGCCATCCAGACACGGACCCGGATGTTCAGAATTCAAACTTTACAACTTATTGACAGGCCTACTTAAGTTCATTTTGTGAGCAAAGCACTAGATTTGATCATTTGATTTGCTAAAAAAAAAAATGTGAATTTTTGAAAATTATTTATTTTTTTTTAAAGATATTATCGAATTTGCGAACTTTTCTTTAATCAAGATTACTACTGAACAGTCAACAAATTTCGTGCGATTTTAGAACTGTGCATTTTTTGTTTTGTTTTACTGATTATCGTAGTGAACCCTCGAATTAAAATACCAATACCATAACCCACAGAATGGCATATGGCGAAAGGTGGGGGCACGGGGGGACAGATGCATCCGGGTGCCAGCTAGTTAGGGGCGCCAGCTAATTAGGGGCGCCAGCTAGTTAGGGGCACCAGCTAGTTAGGGGCGCCAGCTAAGTTAGGGGCGCCAGCTAGTTAGGGGCGCCAGCTAGTTAGGGGCGCCAAAAATGTGATGTGATATTATTTTATTGATGAGAATAATGGGTTTAAGAGTTGAAAAAGAAAAGTGGTTGCTTGAAAATGAATCGTGTTCCCGGGCGCCAAACACTCTAGCTACGCCTCTGCATGATATCCTCGTTGTGCGCGAGCCACGCTTCTTGAGCTGTCTGAACTTGTGATAGAGCTTCACATGGCGACACGGCGGAGTGATCCTGTGTGTGTTTTGGTTATTTGTGGTATTTGTGATGTTAGGTCCAGGCCTGTGAGGGGAACAGAAGCGAAATCGTCATCGAAATTCCAAGTCTGTAAACAAAATAATGGGCTTAGCAGGCGTGGGGGGTGTGGGGAGGGGGGTTGGTTTGGCTCTTTTTTTTTTTTTTTGGGAAGGGGGGGTAGTCTGTAAACAAAATAATGGGCTTAGCAGGCGTGGGGGGTGTGGGGAGGGGGGTTGGTTTGGCTCTTTTTTTTTTTTTTTGGCAAGGGGGGTGTGGGGGATGGGGACATATTGATGACATCATTTGACACAGATATGCAACGGTCTGATGTGAAAACAAATTAAGAGAGCGCTTAATATATCAACAAGTTATACTTTTTAAAAAAAAAAAACTTTATATCATAGAGTACTTGAGCTTTAGCCACATGTGGCTTACCTGCAGTGGCTGTGAGCGTTTAATGTGACGCTAACTCACCACAACACCCCGGTTCTTAAAGATCTGCACTGTGAAGTCTTCACGTGAGTGAGCGCATTGACCACAAATTCTGTCCCTGGCGTACAGCTGTATGGAAGGCTCTGCACCTGACTATCTAAAAGAGCTGACTTCCGAACATATATCCTTAAAGAACCTGCGCTCTTCATCACAGTCCCTGCTGAGAGTTCCCAGTTGGGGATGGACACAAAAAGAAGTCCTTCGGAGTGCGCTCTTTTGAAGCTATAGCGCCTAAATTATGGAAAAGTTTGCCTCAATCTTCAATGGAAATTAAAAGTGATTTTAAAAAATCATTAAAGAGATTCTGATATTTAAAGCCTTTTTTCTTTAAATAGTTTTTATGACATCAGAGCGCTGTGAGTATGCTAAAATAGCACGGACACAAGCACTATGCAAGTAACCAATCATCATCACTGAGCCCTAGCCACGTGTGGTTTACTTGTGTTGGTGAGCTGTTAATGTGACACTGCATGGGCCCTAGCCACGTGGGGCTTACGTGTGGCTGTCAGCTGTTGATGTGACACTGCATGGGCCCAATAGCCACGTGTGGCTTACCTGTAGCTATGAGCTGTTAATTTGACACCAACTCTGCTCTAACCGCGCGTGGCTGACTTCTGTTGGTAACCTTTTAGTGTGGCAACGCAGCAGACGACTGTCGAGGTGGAGAGATACTGGACTGTGTGCTTGCGTGGCACCATGCCCTGCTGGACATGCAGTAGATGGCCGGCAGCGCGTGTGTGTGTATGCACGCCAGTGGTTCTCGGCCTTCCTAATGCCGTGACCCTTTAATACAGTGACCCCCCCCCACCCAACCATAAAATTATGTTTGTTGATTGTTGATACTTCATAAATTTGTGTTTTCCAGTGGTCTTAGGCGACCCCTGTGTAAGGGTCGTTCGACCCAAAAAAAAAGGGATCGCGACCACAGGTTGAGAACCGCCGTTCTAGACTGTAGAACTTTATTGTACAACCTAACCCAATGCTTTTTAACTTTATTGTACATCTTGGCTCATAGGTCTAGGCTTTAGAACTGTATTGCACAACTTGTCCTTGGCCCATAGGTCTAGGTTTTAGAACTGTACTGTACAACTTGTCCATAGGTCTAGGGTCTAGACTCTAGACTGTAGAGCTTAATTTTACAACTTGTCCGTAGATCTTAGCTGTAAGCTCTGCCACTCTTTAATGAAGAACTTTTAGTTTTTGAAAATGAAAGAACACGAATGAGCTTAGATTATTTCGGACATTGTATCCATATAAAGAGGAAATGAAAAAGAAATAACCTAGGCATTCGTCTTTGACTTATCAGCTTCTACAGGGGGTTGAAGCCCTGAGCTTGGTAGTAATGGATGAATTGACTGTTTCACTGTGGATGGTTGTAGACCAATAAATACACAGGTTCAAATTCGAGATATTTTAGACGCAAAAAATGTATTCGATTCCACCTCCATCCTCGACGTGAACATCAGTTTGTCTTTGCGCTGTTTGAACACGTCAAGCAATATTAATATAGAAATAGCACTGCACGACAGCAGCAGCGATCCAAAGCACCACATCACCGCAACATGACAGCACCGCAAAATGACAGCAACACAACATGACAGCACCACAACCATGACAGTACCGAAACATGACAGCAACACAACATGACAGCACAGCAACATGACAGCAACACAACATGACGCCACCGCAACATGACAGTCCCACTACACGAAAGCACCACAACCTCACAACAACACACCACTCTACCCCGTCACCATAACACAACAGTACCACAACACAACACCACCACAGCACCAAAAAACCAATACCCCAACACAACACCACCAGAGCACCACAACCCAACAATACCCCCATCCAACAACACCACAACCACACAGTACCACAGCACCCCCCTCCAAGGCATAACCACAACCCCATAGCACCACAACACATTGTTTTTCTATTCTGACCAAGTTAATCACAACTGTACCGGGGCACTCGGGTTCAAACCACGAACATGTGAGAACCTCTTGCCCGGCGTGACCTCACGTACACTTTCTCCAGGTGACGACTCCTCGCGTGGTGTCTACGCCAACCCCCTCCCCGCCACCAACCACCGTTTCCGAAACACCTGACCAGGCCTCTGTCGTGGCCGCATGTTAACATCACCATCAGATCCCATTCTCCGGTGTAACCTCGCGTTCCTTGGCTTGTGCACTGAAGCGTTGTATCTCTCGGTTCAGATCTGTAGCCCCCCGGGGGGATGGGCTCATCATAAATATTGTGGTATTGATGTACATTACGTCGTCTGTTCTCCCTGCTGTTATTGGGGCCGGGCCTGCATAGATTGGTATCAGGTATTTGAATGGGGTGGCTGATCAGTGAAATGTATTAGGTCTTTCGCGTTTACGATGGTGTCATTGTGACCACGGTTCTATGTCGTGACCGGTGCAGTTGAGATGGAAGATGGCGAAACTTGGAATAATGAACACAACGAAAGTAAGGTAAGTGATTGAAGTGTAATATGTGTGTGTACATCTTTCACCCCCGTCCGTTTATCTGTGTGTGTATCCACTTACTTGTGTCTGCCTGTGTCCAACTGTCCGTGTGCCTGCGTTCAGCTTCCGTCTGCCTGCGTTCAGCTGTCCGTCTGCCTGTGTTCAGCTGTCCGTCTTCCTGCGTTCAGCTGTCCGTCCGCCTGTTTGTCCAACTGCCCAGAGTATCAGTATACGAGTGTTTGTTTTTCTGTCTGCCTCTCTTCCTGTTTACTGGAACCTTTGCACATGTCCTCGACCCCCGTGCCCGTCCGTCCAGTTAGCTCCCACTGTTGACTACCTTGTTCACACTTTCAGCCATTTTTCTGCCTGCCTGATGTTAACACAAATACACCAACTGGAATTGTCGAATTTTGTGTTCATCTACTTCGAAATGAAATGTCCTACATGTCCATTCTTAGCCTTGCCTGCCTAATAAGGTTGCCAAAGTATCCTACTTTTTCTCTCTATCTCTCTCCCTCCCTCCTGTCCTCTCTCTATCTCTCTCCGTCCCTCTCTCTATCTTTATTTCTCTCTCCCCTCTCTCATATTCTCTCTTTCTTTCTCCCATTGTCTCACTCCTCTCTTTCTCTCTCTCTGCCTCTCTCCCACTTTCTCCCACTCTCTTTCTATCATTGGTTGGAGTCTACAACAGGTCCTCCGTACTTTAATATGTTAAGGAATCGCTGAATGGTAGACGGAATGTAAACACCTGAAGGTAATGATGACGTATGCATCTTCTGGGAATCTTTCCTTTTCATTCCATCTATGTAGCAATAGTCCATTACCCTTACTTAACCTACAGCAAAGTGCCAAATAGCCCAAAATGCCCCTTACTTAACTTACAGCAAGGTGCCCATTAGCCCAAATGCCCCTTACTTAACCTACAGCAAGGTGCCCATTAGCCCAAATGCCCCTTACTTAACCTACAACAAGGTGCACATTAGCCCAATACCCCTTACTTAACCTACAACAAGGTGCACATTAGCCCAATACCCCTTACTTAACCTACAACAAGGTGCACATTAGCCCAATGCCCCTTACTTAACCTTCAGCAAGGTGCCCATTAGCCCAATACCCCTTACTTAACCTACAACAAGGTGCCCATTAGCCCAATGCCCCTAACTTAACCTGCAGCAAGGTGCCCATTAGCCCAATGCCCTTTACTTAACCTCCAGCAAAGTGTATATCTTAATTATATCTGCCATTAGAATGGAATGGCTTAATTAACACACACCACAGATACACATACACCCACATACCCACACACCCACACACACACACGAGGTTTAAGTACAGATTTCCTCACAACGGCTAATATTTTTTTTTTTTTTTTTTTTAATGTTAGACATTGTAAAACTCCGTCTCATAGTCATAGAATCGTACTCTGTCTTACGCTTTAAGAGCTCCGAATACACAAAAAATTAATTTAATTAAATGAACAGTGCAAATGGGAAAAAAACCCTATCATTCTCAACACTTCTACAGGAAATGGCTCAAATAAAATAACAACAATGATATTAACTTTGTCAGTGACCAATCTTTGTAACCGGAATGTCAAACACTGCAAGGTAAAGGGCAGTTATTCGAGACATATTTAATAAGTCGTTTTAGGAAATCAGTCAAAACTTGGAGTAGTTCTAAGTTCTCCTGGCATTTGTAATGAGTACATGTCTGTAATTATGATATTCCCAAATGTTTTTTTTTTTTTTTTTTTTTTTTTTTTTTTTACCCATATCAGAAAAATATGTAAATTCGAATTCGATTACAGATACAATCGCCTCATTCTGATTACGACTGTGCGCGTAATATATCATAAGACAACTACAATTGTTTGACTCTTGTCTATACGATACTGCTCTTCAAATACCCGGCTGTAGCATCGAAGCCGGCTTGTTCATCGAAGTCCAACCAATTATTTTAAGCCATCAACTTTTAAAGTCAAAGTGAGTTCTCGGCCTTTATCGACTACAACACGTGATTTATGATCACGGTTTAGAATTTCCTTAGCTTTCACACACTCACACGCGACACACACACTTGAACACAATACACGCGCACACACACACAAACACAAATACCACGTAAATGAACTTTCAAGAATTGCAAAGCCGTCAATCACACGACACTCACTCTTTCTTTCCTTTTTGAAATGTCTGTTGTTTTGATGCCTTTATCTTTATGAATTAGTTTCAAGTACTGGAGTTGTCACTACGGCTGATAAGGTTGTGTCAGTTTAAAAAATATGTTTATAATTCCATACCAAAAGGGGTCTATCAAAACAAAACAAAAAGGTTTTATACCTAATACTTTTCTAGATATGTCCTAAAATGGAACAGAGGCAAAAAACAAAAACAAAAAGAGAGGAAAAAATGTGTTTCGTAAACAAAAAAATATAAAAAAATAAACAAACTAAATGAAAACTTGTATAAATTGTTTATAAATTGCAAAAATTATGCTAATTATGATATGCTTAAAACAGGATGACCATGTACAGTCGAAGTCGTTGCCCTCCTTTAAAAGTTGGTCGTATTTGATAAAGAAATATAAATTGAAAACATATTGCCCATGTCTGCAAGAACTAATTCAAATATTAGGCTTTATAGCGATGGAAAGTTAGTTTAATGCCGTATTGTTCTGAGAATAGGCCGAACCTCCCCCCCCTCCCCATGTAGCAAGTATTTAATCTAATTATTTTGCTCACAAAAAAATTTTTAAAATTTGAGGTAAACATTAAATAAATCAAAGTTGTCTGCAAAAACTAATTCAAATATTAGGCTTTATAGCGATGGAAAGTTAGTTTAATGCCGTTTTGTTCTGAGAATAGGCCGAACCTCCCCCCCCCCCCCATGTAGCAAGTATTTAATCTAATTATGTTGCACACAAAAAAATTTTTAAAATTTGAGGTAAACATTAAATAAATCAAAGCACCAATATATTTGAACAACGGGTAGTGGTGGCGCCGCTTAAAACTTAAAACCGGGGCAGCGGCCTGTTTTAGAAGAAAACATACAATATTTAGATTTGAATGTTAAGTCTGTCTGCATTTTACTTGAATATTCGTATCATCAAATATATAGAGCGTGTCAACGTTACATTGATTTCGATAATTTTATTAAAAGGTTTACAAAAATGCCAACTGAGTCGGCTAAATAATAGATCTACCGATTCCCTGCATCAACACACGAGTGGGAGTTAGAGAGGAAAACAAATTAGTACAGCTATCCTGAAAAAGATAACTACATGGAATTAACCAATCAAATTCTCTCTTACAGGTGTCTCTCATGTCCCCTCTATTTCTTATATTTTACATATTTCCAAAATATATTTGCCCGTTAAAATCTTATTTATCAGTGTAATGATACATTATTTCTGTTACTTCCTGCAATCTTGGTTTCGAAAAACCCAACTTCCGGCAAACACATTTATGGCGCATACATATATCCGTTTTGGAGGTACTTCCTATTTCTCGTGGTTTCCTCATTTGTCCCGTCTGCCGAGGAAGGCTCTTAGCCGAAACGTTCTTCTTGTATTGTCCTGTCTTTATATGTCATGCCTCTACGTAACTTGTTCCACCATTTCCTTCATTTTAAACGAACAATAATGTTGCCCCTCCATTGAGATCTGGTTGTTGTAGGAACCTTAACTAGCCAGCCAGTGTAATGCCTTAACTGTCGACATTATCATTTTGGAGACTGAGTTGAAATAAACTGTTCTATAATAAATTAAATAACACAATTTTTTTTTTTTAATGTACTGGTGAGGAAGAACCATGTCCAAATGTGGATCCGCCGTCAATCTCACATCACAGGTCACCACCTGTGGTAGGTCCCGAACTTTGTTAGATCACCACCTGTGTTCAGGTCACCACCCGTGTTCACACCACCTGTGTTAGGTCCCGAACTTTGTTAGATCGCCACCTGTGTTAGGTCCCCAACTGTGTTAGGTTCCCAACTGTGTTAGATCACCTCCTGTGTTCAGGTCACCACCTGTGTTCAGGTCACCACCTGTGTTCAGGTCACCACCTGTGTTAGGTCCCCAACTGTGTTAGATCACCACCTGTGTTCAGGTCATCACCTGTGTTAGGTCCCCAACCGTCTTAGATCAGCACCTGTGTTCAGGTCACCACCCGTGTTCACACCACCTGTGTTAGGTCCCCACCTGTGTTAGATCACCACCTGTGTTCAGATCACCACCCGTGTTGACACCACCTGTGTTTTGGTCACCACCCGTGTTCAGGTCACCACCTGTGTTCTGGTCACCACCTGTATGTTACACACCTTGCCTCGACTGCAGCCTCGGCTAATTGTTTGCCGGATGAACCAGTGTTTATTTATGTCAACTAAACAGCACAGGTCAGGAGCGTCCGTGGGGTGCCCGGGGTCAGGAGCGTCCGTGGGTTGCCCGGGGTCAGGAGCGTCCATGGGTTGCCCGGGGTCAGGAGCGTCCGTGGGTTGCCCGGGGTCAGGAGCGTCTGTGGGTGCCCGGGGTCAGGCGCACTTGGCAACAATGGTTTATTCGCGTCAACTCAACAACACAAGTCAGCAGCGTCCGTGAGTTGCCCCCAGGGTGTGGTGCACTGACAACCATTGTTTATTCATATCAACAAGAAACAAAACAATCAATCAAAGCGTGAAACATTCAATCCAACATATATATTCCCAACAAGATATCTTGACACTTGAAAAACCACATGTCCTGTAAAAAAATTTCACACGATTTGAATGCAGTCTCTACTTTATCATCCTCTTCTAATCCAAAAGCTCGGAGCCATTTCTTTTAAATTTTGAGAACCCATCAAAAGGTAATTTCGCTATATACTAGCTGTCTAGTATGTTGCAAGTTGTTAAGTCTTCATTGCTATTCATTATGCACTTTTCAACGTTAAATACATCTCATTGAGAGTTAACACATTTCTTGAAACTCAGTTTTTCATGTTCCAATAACATATGGCATATGGGATTAGATTTACGAAGCGGCTTTTTGCCCCATTTTGGCGTCTCGCGGAACTTTATCTTATTTATAGAAATTTGCACCACTTTCGATACTTTGCGCCACTTTGGCCACTTTGCGCCACATTCGCCACGGTTGTCAGATGAATACACGTTTATGTCATTTGAAAACTAGCCTGCATGTGCGTTGTCGCCTCTCTGTTCCAAACTTTTCTTCAGCTATACAGAAGCCCTAATGGAATAATCAACCATGAGTCATGATTATATATCATACTTTATGATTAAATATTGTAATTACTGCTTCATATTTGCGATAGTTAACCTGTTTATTTAAAGGTTTGAAGACCGGTGATTTTTCAAGATAATCGGAATTCTCACACACAAAGAAAAAAAAAAGCAATCAATATTGCTGACATTATCTGGACTCGCCTCTAGGAATGCATTTGTCTTTACATTCCGCCCAATAACACTTATCACTTGACCCGGTCTGCACCGCGATGTCATAGAGCACCTGACCCCCCATCTAGCACTGCATCTACCAATGGAAGAATGTGACACCATTTGGTAACACGACTTGGTACCGACCTGTCCACACCCTGGGACGGAAGAATGTGACGCCAATAATGTTACGAATGTGTACCCCACTGTTCAAATGAGGCACAATGTTGGCCCTACCCGGGTGACACTAACCCAAGCTGTAACGCCACTAACCATGCGGTATGTTGTTTAATAGTAGCACGACGCTCCTGCTTTGACCTCGCCCCATTGTAAACAGTGTCTGGTCGCATACCAAAACACCACGTCATAGCGCGCGCCTAGAACGTGAGCACATCAATAGTGTTGTTTTTCTCAAGAGTAAATTGTGAAAGTTTAAAGCGCTCTCCAGTGCTATTATCACCCTTCACTCCTCTGTGTTCACAGTGTCATCACGTGGGTCCGTGGAGTTCTAGTTTCGACCGCCTCTGTGTTGGATGTACGATCCTGTCAATTATTATGGTAAAGTAAGGCTGCCGTGTTTTACGTGAAATCTTTTTCTTCTTTGGCTAACGGATTTATTTTACATTGAAAAATAAAGAGATTAATGCGTTTCAGATAATCTCGTGTATGGATTAAAAGCTTGGATTAACCGCGTGGATTAGCAGCGTTTTGTTCGGGATGAACATTAGTCAATAATGTCGTGTTCGTATACTAAATAGCTTATCTTTAAAAAAAAAACACACACACACAAAAATATATGAATACGGGAACTGAACTGTGTGTCTCTAGTGCTGGTATTATCTATTCAGTGTCTCTAATGCAGCTTTTAGGTTTTCGTTGTGTCGTTAGTGCAGGTATCGATTGTACAACGTGTTTTAGCTACATATATCAATTATCCATCGCTTCTCTTTCTGCATCTATCGATTATTCGTCATGCCTCTAGTCAACTCTAGTGCAAGTATCTATTATCAGCAGTGTCTCTAGTGCCAGTATCGACAATTCCTCTTGTCTTTTGTGCAGATATCCACTTTTTTATTTCTCATTTCTAATAAACCAGGTATGGCGCAGATGGCTTTTTCTTATGCAAGAGAGTTTTTACCTTAAAATTGTGAACACATTTGTTGGGGTCCAGGATTGTGTTCGCGGTATTCAACTTAAAACAGTGTCCATGTTTTACTCACTGTCCGAGTTCAGTCAACCTTCTTACCAGCGTACCCCGTGTTATAGTACAGCCCATGCCTTTGCCCAATTCCACATCAACTCAGAGCTATTTTTAGCCACCGCAACGTATCTCCTCCGTGCTTTGCTTTTCTTTCACGTCAACGAGGAAATGTGCTGCAGTGTCACTGCTTACCCACCCCTACCTTGATTGGGAAAAGATTGTTTACGCGTGAATGCGTTCTATTTGTTTTGAAGAATTATATTAGGTGACGAAATTTTTAGAATGTATTTACTAGATCGTTCTGATTTAATATCTAAATATAGCATGACAGCTTTCCTAGCCGAGAGAGATTTTTGCTATATTTCCTAACATATACGAGAAGTTATATAATTGCAATAGTTTACTCCTTACATGTGTGTGTGTGTGTGTGTGTGTAAAATTTCACTTGTATTTCTCAAGGAGTGTAACTTTTCACTTGCTATGTTGTAAGTTGATGCAGTTGTGTTTCTCTGTATTTCGATTTGAATTTTTTATAAAAAAATTATTACTATAATTAAATTGGACATTGTTAGTATCGCAAGCTTCGGTCTCGCTTTCCTTGCACACAGTCTTTCCTCGGTCTTTTGTTCGCTCTGCGAGCCAAATCTTAACACAGGTTACATTGCCATAGCCGTCACGGTACGTAACACCTCCCCGTCCTCAGCATGTTAATCCTCAGCATGTTAATTCTCAGCATGTTAATTCTCAGCACGTTAAGCCTCAGCATGTTAATTCTCAGCATGTTAATTCTCAGCATGTTAATTCTCAGCATGTTAATTCTCAGCATGTTAATTCTCAGCATGTTGATTCTCAGCATGTTAATCCTCAGCATGTTGATTCTCAGCATGTTAAATCTCAGCATGTTAATTCTCAGCATGTTAATCCTCAGCACGCCCCGCCGTTGAGTTCTGCTATTTTCTCTGCCCCTTGTTGTTGCGATTCACAAGTCCGTTGTCTCTGAAACGTAATTATGAAACTTTGTCGGATTTATCAACCTGAAGCAGTGCCGCGCCGCAGTCCGACCCGTCGCTATGTTCTTGGAAATAAAGATCACTCACAGCAAAAAAACATTGATCGAGTGTCTCAAGACTTCTGGTTCATATTTGGTTTACCACAAGTGAAAACAAAACACGTGGAAGTCAGACGTCGTTATCATACATCAATATCGTGCGTCATTATCATAAATCACTATCTTTTATATACATAATCTTTATCTTACATCTTTATCATACATATTTATCATGCATCTTTATCACGCATCCCTTTCCCATAAGCTAAAAATCGATGTGTTCTAAATTTCTATTTACAGAACGCATCCGTCCCTTATTTTGTATTTGCTCCAATATAACTCCGCAACATTGTGTCTGATTTGCTGGAGTATTCAATACAGATTCCAGTTTGCACTGTTCTTAAACTTAGACGGAGCGAGCATTCCTTTCAAATCAACATACGCGTCCCATGGGTGTCATCTGAGGTCATGGCGCCATACTTTCTGTTGATGTCATTATGATTATGTCCTTGTCCCAAAAAACTTTTCCCTAATGTTGTGCCCAATGACTGACTACATAAGAGTAACCATTGCCATGGTCGTAATTTTTCCCCCGTTGAAATCCACCACCCCCGCCCCTAACATTGTTAGTTTGACCCACATTGTTAGTTTGCCCAGGTCGCCCTAAAGTTAGTGAGGAGATAACTCTATTTGTCTGACTGATTTTTTTTGTTTCAGCGGGGATTCTCGTTGGTTCTCTCCGCACTTTAAAAAAAAAATCGATCGTCCTTGACCTACACGTCATCAGAAATCGGACTAATTGGGACTCTAAGGGCCACCCGGTTTATGGCTCAAATGTTTTCAAAGTTTATGGTTCAATAATTTTTTCCACAAAGAGGTAAAGAAAGCGCACATTGTCTCCCTTTCTACACTTCCCGAAAATGAAAAAATTTTTAAAAAATTTTAAAAATTTTTAAAAAGAATATTTGTTTTGCTTTGTTTGTTTGTTACTCTTTTCTTGACTAATGTATTTCTGACGTACAGTTGCTGTTGTCTGATCTTTTCTAAAGCATTCCAGAAAGAAAAAAAAAGGTACTAAAATTTTAAAGATAATTTGTAAAAAAAAAAAAAAGCACGTCTTTTTGACGCAGGCCATCTCAAGTTGAGGCGCAGCCTAACAAGAAAAAATGGTCGAGTAACTTTGGATCGTTAAATCACCCTAACTTTGAAACGTTAAATCACCCTAACTTTGAAACGTTAAATCACCCTAACTTTGAAACGTTAAATCACCCTAACTTTGAAACGTTAAATCACCCTAACTTTGAAACGTTAAATCACCCTAACGTTGAAACGTTAAATCACCCTAACTTTGAAACGTTAAATCACCCAAACTTTGAAACGTTAAATCACCCTAACTTTGAAACGTTAAATCACCCTAACTTTGAAACGTTAAATCACCCTAACTTTGGATCGTTAAATCACCCTAACTTTGGATCGTTAAATCACCCTAACTTTGGATCGTTAAATCACCCTAACTTTGGATCGTTAAATCACCCTAACTTTGGATCGTTAAATCACCCTAACTTTGAATCGTAAAATCACCCTAACTTTGAAACGTTAAATCACCCTAACTTTGAATCGTAAAATCACCCTAACTTTGAAACGTTAAATCACCCTAACTTTGAATCGTAAAATCACTCAAACTTTGAAACGATAAATCATCCTAGTTTTGAATTAATGCCAACAAGTATCACTCGTTTAAACTCCTGTTATTTATCGTCATAAAAAGAGAGTAACAGAAACTAAGTATTTGGATGTTATTATTTGGAATAAATTGTTTGACGTCATAGCCCTAATCCCCAATCTAAAGGTCCTCGCATTAAAACTTCCACCCCTGTCTACCCAAAATGTTTGTTTTTTAATGGATTACTATATAATATAGAATTAATATAAAACAAAAATGAAGGTCGCCCCAAATTTATGCATGGCAGTGTGAACCAATGTTCCAGAATAGCTACTGTTGAGATAATCTCGAAGTACCCTGGCACCCACTTTTGAGAACCACTTAACTGAAATCACGTTTGCCAAGATGTGGCAGTGCGTCCTGTGTTGTTTTTACACTAAACGATTTAATAAACACAAGCTGTTGGTACGTTCGCATTCGCAATGCACCGCGCCGCGGTAATGTTTGCCGCTGGCATAGACCGTACTAATTGACACCCAGTGACATGCACGTTGGCTGTGGTGTTCTAATGTAACAGTGGACCAGACGCGACACTATGTCCGGCCGCAGTCAACTTTACTCTGTCATATTCTGTACTTGGATTACATCAGTTCCCGCGAGTGCTCGGGTGCCTGTTTTCTAACAGTGTTAGTAGCACTTATCATTAATTTTATTGTGCCGATATCTATTCATCGTTTATAATGAGATGTGTGCATATTAACTTTACTAAATTTAAGCGCTGTCATTCTATAAGTTAAATGGGAAGGAAAAAAAATAAACATGTCCACCCTCACCAACTTGGGAAAGGTGACGGTCTCCAAACTCAAGGCAGACCCAATTTGAGGCAAGCCGGTGCCTAGAGTGTTATCTGAGGACCATCTTTGAATATAGCGTGTAGCACGCGTGTAATCGTTCTCTTACACTTACATGTTATTCTCGCTTTGTTAAACCCTTTATTGCGTAAATAGGTAAATAATACAAGGGGAAAATTTAATTCTAACTCTAAAAAAAAAAACGTGCACAAATAAAACAATAGAGGTTAATCTTTAATCATGATTATAGAGAATATAATTGCAAACGTTTCGGCAAATGCCTTCATCAGTAATAAATAAAAAAAATAAAAAAAATTAAAAAAATTATAAAAAAAACATCATTCATATTGAAACATACATTAAATTTAATATATATATAAAGAGAGAGAGAGAGCGAGAGAGAGAGAGAGAGGAAAGAGAGAGATAGAGATACAATAAATAAATATATATTGATATGTAAATCTATATATTGACATTTTTATGTATTTATATATCCTAGTTAAGAATGAGAGAAAAAATATAAGGTTGGACACCACTGAATCTATTCTAAAATCAATGGGTTGGGTTTTTGTTTTTTTTATTTGCATCTTTGAAGGCATTTGCTGAAAGGTTGACATTGTATTCTGTGTCACCATTATTAAAAACTTAACCCTTGCACTGTTTCTATTTCCACCCATTGTTTGTGTTGCTCATAATTGACTTAAAAAGCTGTCTCGCAGTCCGACACTCGTTTTATGACGAGATGGACAGGATGAGTGATAGAAGCATTGATGTGCATAGTATGTAAAGCTTTGCACCTGCTCTGTGTGTTTCATAAGGTCACATACACAAGAACAACCAGCCACAACAACATCTTAGAGATGTAGTTAGTTACCCGCCCCCGCAGATGTTCACATCTTTATGTGATGTAGATGGCCGTTAATATAACAGCTGTGCGTGGGATGTTTCTGTGTGTGTTGTTGTTTTTTTTGTTGTTGTTTTTGCCATTATAGTGAAGTTTAAAATACAATGAGTAGGCACGCGAGAAACAGAGAAACAATGACGTCGCCGCGTTATTGAACATTCTATGTAACTGAACATCACCGACCACTCCAACTTTTAAATATGGTGATCTCCGGAAGTAAAGTGGAATTAAGGTTCCTGATGAAGATCAGAAGGTCAAGGTTTTCTTTCGATTGGCGGTAAGTAAAACGATATAGAATTTTGAAAATATTTTTTTTAAAAACACATTAATTTTTGGACATGGATTTGTTTGTAATTAAATTAATCATATACCATACGGTGTCCAGTGAATTTACAGACCAAAAGACTTTTTTTTTTTTTATGCAATGTCAAGATGGACGTTTTAGTGCGAGTGGATTAAATCGAACGTACAGCCGTACAGCCGTACAGCCTTGGCCATGAACGCAGTGGTATGAGCGTTTCTGGGAATTAAATCGATTCATAGCATAGCTGCAAGTTTGAAGCATTAAGTCAGAATCTTGTGTTTTGTTTTGGCCAGAAATCATTCGAATAACGCATTAATAATATTTTTTCAGGAGAAAAAAGTGGAATAATTATGTTTTTGGTTCGACTTCTTTCAAGGTGTCCTTAGTCCTTACCCTCGTGTTTCCGGTTTCCCCATTGCTCAACCCTGATCGCAGCCTTTAATATATGATACGCATTAAAGTTTATATATTTTTGGTCTAGTTTCCAGTCTGATAGTTTAAAAACAAAACACCCCCATGTCCTCCCATCCACACACACGTAAACATCATGGTATCTCTCCTTTAATGAGTTCAGAGGGGTATCTAAGGGGGGGGGGGGGCAAGGGAACCCCCTGGGCGCCAGCCTAGTTGGGGGGGCCAAAAAAGGCTTTGATATTATTTTTTTATGAATTTTTGGTCTAGTTTCCAGCCTGAAAGTTTAAAAACAAAACACCCCCAGGTCCTCCCATCCACACACCCGTAAACATCATGGTATCTCTCCTTTAATGAGTTCAGAGGGGTATCTAAGGGGGGGGGGGGCAAGGGAATCCCCTGGGCGCCAGACTAGTTAGGGGCGCCAAAATATGCTTTGATATTATTTTTTTATGAAAATAATGGGTTTGAGAGTTGAGAGAAAGAAAAGGGAGGCGCTTTGGAGTGAATCTTTTCCTCGGATGCCAAACACTTTAGCTACGCCTCTGAATGAGTTGTAAGATTGATTTCTTGGAAGACATCGATCTCCCTTCAGCCCTAACAACCCGGCTGCTACTTTTATCCGCAATGTTCCATTTACAAACATGTTGTTGCTGCTTTCTTTTTTTTTTTGGGGTGGTGGTCTTTATTATTGAGACCAAAGCAGTGGCTTAGTTAGGGATTTGGGGGCCCGGTGGGCTTGGCCTTATTAGGGGCCCCTGCATTTTGACATTCGACATTATTTAATGTAAAAAAAAATCGGACACTCCTTTGGGGGCCCCCCTCAAGTAGGGGCCCGGGGGACTTTCGAATTTGGACGCCCTCCCCCTCCCCTAGCTACGCCACTGGACCAAAGGTATTCAATGCAAATATTTTGACATCTATTTTTATAATCTCCTATAACATTAAATCCCCGGAACACGTTCTCGATTGGTGACCGATCGTTCTTTTTCTGTGCCCCCCAAAACAATGAAATTCCCTCCCATTACACATCCGCAATGTACCGACCATCACAACCTTCAAAACTGCTCTCAAGACCCATCTCTTCAAACTGTACTATATCGACTCATTCTCACCTCCCTCTGACTGACCAACAACGCGTGATGCTGCTGGTTGCTGTCCATGGCTAGACAGGGGTAGATAGTACTTGGGAGGGTGAGGTCAAGCTTTTCCCCAATTGTTGTTTTGAAAGGTATACTTTTTCTGTAAGTGCTGATTTTTATTTGAAGCGCAGTGAGCCTAGCCCTAGGCTGGGGTACAGTAGTGAGCCTAGCCCTAGGCTGGGGTACAGCAGTGAGCCTAGCCCTAGGCTGGGGTACAGCAGTGAGCCTAGCCCCAGGCTGGGGTACAGCGCTATATCAAACCACCTCAATAATAATAGCAATAATAATAATAATGTGATGCCTTTTTTTTTCTTCTGGAAAAGTTGGAGTTCAATATCTTTATGCACTGAATATTATCGTTATTAACCATCGTAAACTATATCGTGCTAATATGAACTTGCACCTTGTCAAAACAAATTTAATAAAAGTTGGGTAGAATTATATTAGTTGTAGCAAGGACTAGTACTACCCGGGGGGGGGGCGGAGGAGGATTAATATTTTTGTCGCCCCCTGCCGTGAAAAAAACAACATGTGTAGTTGGCCAAAATTCCCCCCCCCCCCCCAAAAAAAAAAAAACAAAAAAAAACCAACACTAGTTTTTCTCTTGAAGTGGGGGGGGGAGTGCCATTATATTATTCCACTGTATTCTACTTCAATTTTAAAGCCACCTTGTTTACTGTCGTATATAATATCCAATAACTACCCCCCACCCCCCTTTTTTTTATTTTAAATCCCGGTTATCTCCCCTCTCAGCCACTTTCTGTTGTTATGAAAGATTTTTTAATTAACCCCGCGCAAAATAATATCACGTGATCTTTCCATTAGAAACATTCTTTGCAGACGGGTTTGTTTATATCTATTAGACGCCGTGGGTCACTTTGACCTTTGAAATAGAAATAAGGAGACCCGAACGGTGATCCATATCTGTGGAGTGGCTATACGCCTGCATTGTAACAAACCCATGTGTGTGATAAACCGATGTATGTGTGGGATGCAACCCTTGCATGTGTGAGATACAACCCTCTTACGTGTGGGATACAACCAATGTATGTGTGGGAAACAATCTATGTATGTCAAGGTTAACATCCCAATCTAAAACAATAATTACAAATATTTTTTAAAAAAATATCCACCATTATTTTGGTAAATATTTTGATGTTCATTTCAATTTTTCTTTCTTTCTTTTTTTTTTTTTTTGGAAATATGAAGCTGAAAGACACTTTACTCACCATACGATTATGTGAACTGTAACTGTGTCCTTTGGAATACATTCACGTGTGTCCTATTGTATACCAGTAGCTGTGTCCTTAAGTAAGCTGTTTCACAGAGTAGCATTGTGTTTGTTATTGCAGGCACAGCTTGGCCAGCGTAGAGCTTGGAAGCTGGGCTGCTAGAGGACACAGGCGGGGTTCTGCCCTGCCGCCATTTTGTTCTTCTCTGTCACCCACGGAGGCGTCTTCACGCACAGAAATATTACAGACGTGAGTACCAACCTTTGACCTACCTAGTACAACCTTTGACCTTTCTCATATCAACCTAGTGCTATGTAATAACAACTAAGTACCAAAATAATATATATATATATATATTAAATTGTAATCAAGGAATTCGAGCAGCCTTCATTTTTTTGCCGACCCCGCTCCAGCTTCACTTTCGAGCTCCGGTTAAGGGGTGGTAAGGGGTGGTTATTGGGTGGTTAAGGTTTTCTGTCTCGGGTTGATCCTGTAGTATAGGCCAAAATGTGCCAAAGTGTCCTCGTTTTATAGCCATTTTAATTGTTTCTATAGTATAGTAGTTACTATCCTAGTGTCTCATTTTTATTTTAATTAGTTTACATGTTTTTAATAATTGTAAAGCGCTTAGAGCTTTAAGGTAAGCGCTATATAAAAATGCCTAAATAAATAAATAAGGTGTGATTAAGGGGTGGTTAATGTGTGGTTAATATGTGATTAACGGGTGCTTAACTTTTTGAAGAAATGTGTTTGTTATTGTCAATTACCCAACTTAACTAGGCATTAGAAATACATGAGCCGGAAACATAGCTGGTAGAAGAGTCGGGCAGCGTAGCTGGTAGAAGAGTGGGGCAACACAGCTGGTAGAAGAGCGGGGAAACATAGCTGTTAGAGATATGATGCATCAATTAAAAAAATAATTTTAAAAAACATTTAAAAGATAAAAATTTTGTTAAACTTTAAAAAAAAAGTTGTAAACAATTAATTTATTAAAATGTTTGAGCTCGGGACAATAATAAATGTTACTAGCTCCAGCTCAAGCTCCAGACCAAAAAAAAAAAAATAGACCCTTCTCTGAGCTCCAGTTCCGAGCCCTGCTCCAGATCCCTGCTCCAGATCCCTGATAGTGATAGCTGTCTACTCTCACGTAAAGAGCCTGGTGTGTTCAACTTCAATGAATGTCTGTAACCTCTAATCTCGTAGAGCAAATTGATTGGTTCAGGGCCGGTCACACTCAGTCCAACGTGATAACATGAAGGTTGACAGCAGGGGCGTTGTCAAGTTACATGTTGGAAGCAGTAACCCATGTGTAGGGGGGTGGGGGTGGGCGGCGGCACGTCTGTCACCTGACCCAGGGGATTGTTTTATAAATATTGGATAAAAGCATTGTTATGTCTAGCAACTGTTTCTGTTTGTTTTTCCTTTCTTCTTTTGAAACATTGACACCGTAACTGCTCTCTATATTTTACTTTATGTAAGTTGATGTTGATGATTATATAAGGAAAATACATGATAATAAACGAAGGACTGCGTTCATGCTGGGTGAAGGAAATAGTGAGACGGTGTTATGGGTGTCAGCTTGAATCATAAGACAGGAGACAAGATAAGAACGTTTCGGCCGAGAGCCTTCCTCGGCAGACGGGGGCCAATGAAAATACGACAAGAAATAGGAACGAGGTCAAAACTAGAAATAAAATTGTATAAACATTCGATAGCCCCATGTTTTAAGACATTATGATACGGTATATATGAGGAAGCATAGTTTTAGTAATAGTATTGTTATTAAACAGAATTTGAGGAGCAAAACTTTTGTAACTATTTTTTTAAAAATATTTTTAAATTGGGATATATTTCAAACATTAGCAGATAGTTTAAAATTGTAAAATTTATTTTGAAAATATTGTAGGGCAAGAGATAGAATTGACATACTTCAAGAAATAGGTACCGCTTTCAAAATTTACCCCTGGTCTCCTAATACTGTATGCGCCCCTGTACTAATGTCCATCCATACCTTATCAACCTTTCAAATATCCATGCATCGGAGCAGGTTTTCATAACTAGAGTTATTTGAAGCCCAAGTACCCAATGTTATCTGAATACAACACAGATATCTTAATGTAGCCGATGATATCACGCCGCGATCGATGTGTGATTAGGCCGAATTCATTAGATGTGTCTCTACGATATCCGGTCCGTTAAGGACAATGAGAGTGTTTACTTTCGATGATGATGGAGAGGACATCACTGAACCTTACGCAAGAGATCACGCGCCTCAGCACCTTTGATCGACGCATGCTCAAGACGGATATATGGAAAACGTAGGTCCAAAAAACCAAGAGATTGAATCATATAGCGCATAGCAAAGTTGACCGTGTGTTCATGATTTGTTCTTGTTTGTGGTCTTGTGGATGCGTGTTTTTTGTGTAGCTGTTGCTATGTGCTTGGTATTCGTGATGTATTTGGGTATGGGAGATGACGTTGTTGGGTGTTAAAGTTTAGTAGTTGTCGTCACGGAGTTGCAGAGAGGAAACGGATCAAATAAGACACACTGGTTTTTCAACTTAAAACTAAACATATGTCATATAGCCTAGATCAGGCCTGCACAACTCAAAATGTAAGGCGGGCCGTAATACCTTATGAAAAGCTTGCGCCGACCATAATACTTTATGAAAAGCTTGCGTGAGCCATAATACTTTATGAAAAGCTTGCGTGAGCCATAATACTTTATGAAAAGCTTGCGCCGACCATAATACTTTATGAAAAGCTTGCGCCGACCATAATACTTTATGAAAAGCTTGCGCCGACCATAATACTTTATGAAAAGCTTGCGCCGACCATAATACTTTATGAAAAGCTTGCGCCGACCATAATACTTTATGAAAAGCTTGCGCCGACCATAATACTTTATGAAAAGCTTGCGCCGACCATAATACTTTATGAAAAGCTTGCGCCGACCATAATACTTTATGAAAAGCTTGCGTGGGCCATAATACTTTATGAAAAGCTTGCGTGGGCCATAATACTTTATGAAAAGCTTGCGCGGGCCATAATACTTTATGAAAAGCTTGCGTGGACCATAATACTTTATGAAAAGCTTGCGCGGGCCGAAAAATGATACGACAGAGGGGAAGCTATTAAGAAAATAATAAGAATAAAGAATAATAGCAGTTCCTAACACCGTCTCTGGTGAAACACAATTGGGTTTGTCATTTCTTAGACCGGAAAACGCCACATCGTACTACGTAATGTTACTATTTTTAGACAATGTTTTCATAAAACAGCTTCTAAAAATGTTTTCCGCATATACAAGTAACAATTTGTTTGTAAAATCTTTCATAAAATAAAGTTGTAATCACATTTTCGTCGAGATTAAGACTCACTACGCTGGCTCGCATTAATGTTATAGAAGTAACGAACAACTGTTAAGGGATTTGACCAAACGGAATACCAGGATGTTGTATTTAATATCTTAATGAGATTTCCCAGGCTGCAAGCCCGTATGTTCTATTAATAGATTTCTGCCATTAAATGACAAACCATAGTCAAGTGATATTTATTGTATACAGATTTATTTTCTATATCGAGCTGAGAGTAAAGTTTCTCAGCAGTTGCTATCTCATACATGAATCTCATACTATAGCAATGGTTACTTTGCCATCATTTAAACTACTCGTGTTAACGGCCCGATTGTAATAACGTGTAACGGACCATGGCATGAGGCTTGGATGATCGCCTGCTAAAGACAGCGTTTAACAGACCACATCATGAGGCTTGGCTGACACCTGTTAGGACAGCGTGTAACAGACCACATCATGAGGCTTGGCTGACCGCCTGTTAGGACCACGTGTAACACATCACATCGTGAGGCTAGGCTGATCACCTGTAAGGACAGCATTTAACAGACCACATCATGAGGCTTGGCTGACCACCCGCTAAGGACATCGTGTAACAGACCACATCATGAGGCTTGGCTCGCCGCCTCTTAGGACATCGTGTAACAGACCACAGCATGAGACTTGGCTGACCGCCTGTTAGGGGCAGCCCTTGTTTCAATCACGCAGGTTGTTGCAACAAACAAGGAGTCACACAAAGATCGATATCAGCTCCATTTGTTCCTGGAATTAATGCCATGATTTCCGGAGAACCCGCCAAAATGTTCCCGTCAGACCCTGCACTTCCGTTATGTTTTTTTTCTTCATATTTTCCTGTGATTCGGTTACGAACGCCATCGACCGACTGAAATATCAGTGTCAGATCCAGAAGTCATTGAATGTGGTAAAAAAAAAAGGAGGGGGGAGGGGGGGGGGGGCAACTTGGCGCCCAGCATCGTCTGTCAGTGACCATTTGAAGAAACAGACGACATAACAATAACTGATTCAGTATCTGAACTACAAGCACAGGTACCCAACTCAATGTTTCCAGTGTGTTCAATTTTATGAACGCCATACGTCACTGATTCGAATTGTAATAAAAATATGTCGCAACTGTAACAAGTAACATTAAAATGTTCTGGTAATGGTGCACCAATGTTAGAAGACAGGGCTGTCCGCGAAATGTCGTTTTACACCTTCATGCTTTAAATGGATTGCACGTGAAGTAACTAATGGGGAAAGAGTCGGCATTTCTGTAACTAACTGACGGTTAAGTCCTCCATGCCACGCTTTTAGGGTTCATGTAGATGAGGGTTTAGAAACCTTCTTTTTTTTTCAAATATGTAACACCCCTCCAAGCTGGATATGACTGGATCATGAAACACCTAAAAAAGTTACTATTTATTTTAAAATAGTAACAAAACAATGGACTAATACTACTACTATTATTTTTTACTGAATCAGAAAGAAAACTGTAGAGAATATAAAATTACTTTGGGACTTGTTTATAGAATACTTTTAAAAATCAAACTACTTCTCTGTTCTTATAACCACACTGTCTCGCACACCCTGAAATCCCACCAAGTATCCCCTGGGGGAGGCGACCATCCCAGGTTGAGAAACCCTGATGTAGATTATTAAACAAATTCCCCTACCGCATCCTAACGAAGCTATTCCAATACACACCAAATATATTCCAATATCATTCCGTTTATTTAAAGGATGCTTATCAGGGGGAAAAAATGTATTTGGCAATCTTGCTTTTAAAGACAAACGGAAATGGGATTTCTGTAATCACAATCAAAGAAGGGCAAACACTTGGCTATTTCTCTTTGCAATTAAAGAGTTAATGTAAAACTTGAATAGTTGATGAATGAAATGAGAGACCGTTTATAATCCTCTAAGCAAATTGCTTGTAAACATAACAGAGGCGGAAGATGAAAAACACGAAAATAACCTTCTTGATGTTAGTGAGTTATCTCTCTTTGATCCCCCAGAATATCCAGCGCCATCATCCACTTGTTCCAGAGGAAACCACTCAAAGACAACGAGCTGGGAGTTCTGCAGGAACACGTCAGGTTGGTGACTGGGGTATATAAGGCGGTGGTAGGGTATTTAAGGTGGTAGGGTATTTGAGATAGTTGCGTATTTAAGGTGGTAGGGTATTTGAGATGGTTGCGTATTTAAGGTGGTAGGGTATTTGAGATGGTTGCGTATTTAAGGTGGTAGGGTATTTGAGATGGTTGCGTATTTATGGTGGTAGGGTATTTGAGATGGTTGCGTATTTAAGGTGGTAGGGTATTTGAGATGGTTGCGTATTTATGGTGGTAGGGTATTTGAGATGGTTGCGTATTTATGGTGGTAGGGTATTTGAGATGGTTGCGTATTTATGGTGGTAGGGTATTTGAGATGGTAGGGTATTTGAGATGGTAGGGTATTTGAGATGGTAGGGTATTTGAGATGGTAGGGTATTTGAGATGGTAGGGTATTTGAGATGGTAGGGTTGGCGAGAGATTCGATGGAAAAGGTCAAGAACAGCGAGCTGGGAATCCTGCAGGAACACGTCACGTTGACGACAGTGGTGTTTAAGATAGTAGGGTATTTAAGGCAGAGGGTATTTAAGGTGGTAGGGATTTTAAGATGGTGGGGTATTCAAGATGGAGGGTATTTAAGGTGGTAGGGTATTTAAGGTGGTAAGGTATTTAAGGTGGTAGGGTATTTAAGGTGGTAGGGTATTTAAGGTTGAGGGTATTTAAGGTGGTAGGGTATTTAAGGTAGAGGGTATTTAAGTTGGTAGGTATTTAAAATGGAGGGTATTTAAGATGGAGGGTATTTAAGTTGGTATGGTATTTAAGATGGTAGGGTATTTAAGATGGTAGGGTATTTAAGGTGGTAGGGTATTTAAGGTGGAGGGTGTTTAAGATGGTAGAGTATCAAAGGTGGTAGAGTATCAAAGGTGGTAGAGTTTGGGAGATGCTAGAAGTAACAACTCAAAGAGCAGTGAGTTGGGGGCTGGGAGTTCTTCAGGAACACGTCTGGGTTGAAACAGTTGAAGTTAATGTCTTGATGTTGGGGCGAGGTGAATGGATCCAGTTGACGTGAATATATTTCACTTCAGCAAATACAATTAAGCACTCATAGCTGTGTTTCGCAAGACGCTAAAGAGCGAAACATTCGGTACACAGTTTAAAAGTGGGGTTTAAACGGTCGAATTAGGTCGATGTTTGACTAACCAACAGCATGATAATCTGCATCGCTTCCGCGGAAATAAATCCGTGATAAAAGAAATGTTTTCAGTAGGGACATAGAAAAAAAAATACGTTAAAAAACAAAGCAATTCTGCTTTAAAAATAATTCCCAACTTTTCCTCTTAAATAACATTGATAGTGTGTCTGTCTTTTGAAATGATTGTTTCTTTACACTTGGTTGCTTCTTTTTTTTTTTGCTTTGATAATCAAGTGCGCAAAGGTCATTTAGCAAATCAATTTATTTGTACTTTGTCATTCCTAACCGTCACTTACTATGACATTTTAAATCATATGTGAATTAACTACTTTGCTGACAGATCTCTCCTTCTTTTGACTTCAGGTTTCTCATCAACTCTGAGGCTGGCGGTCTCGTTCATGAGTACTACAAGGTGAACAATTTATTGGGAATACAATTTTCATTTGGCTACATTTAGGATTATATTTTTAAGCTTTAATAATTGATTACCAGATTAACATATTTATAAATTACTATACATGTACGTGATGGTAACACCAAGCCATTCTCACATGTACGAGATGGTAACCTCAAGCCATTCTTACATGTACGAGATGGTAACACCAAGCCATTCCTACACGTACGAGATGATAACACCAGGCCAGTCTCTCATGTACGAGATGGTAAAACCAAGCCATTCTTACATGTACGAGAAGGTAACACCAAGCCATTCTTACATGTACGAGATGGTAACACCAAGCCATTCTTACATGTACGAGATGGTAAGACCAAGCCATTCTTATATGTACGCGATGGTAAGACCAAGCCATTCTTACATGTACGAGATGGTAAGACCAAGCCATTCCTACATGTGTCAAATGGTAACATCCTGACGTTCTTGTTTCAAACAGGATCAGTTGTTGAGGAAGGGCATGATCATCCTCAGGGAGAAAATAAAGAATGAACAAGGTGAGTTGTCTTTTCTTGTCTTGTCTTTTGTGCGTGCGTGAGTGTGTGTGTGTGCGCGCGCGCGCGCTCTAGCGTGCGTATGTGTGTGTGTGTGCATGTGTAATCTATGTGCGTGCATGTGAGTGTCTGTGTGTGTGTGTGGGGGGGGGAATGTTTTCGTTGGTCTGTCGCTGATAAACTGTCAGTAGACCCAGGAGTAGAATAGGGTCCGTGCGGGCAATCACCCAGACACAATCCAGGCTTAATGCTATGACATGCTTGAATTTTAAAACCAACAAATTATATATAATATATATATTTTTAAATGAATAAAATAGAAAACTCTGAGAAATATGTTTAAAAAGGTCAAATTAGTGTCAGGGTATAAAAATAATTTTAAAATTGTTGGCCTACTTATTGGTTTATTTCAAAATAAACTTTATATCTTAAATTGTTTTTAATTTGAAAGGTCTTGCATTAAATTTGTTTTTAAAATTCCTTCTCTAATGACCTTTTCAAAAATAAAATATATTTTTTTTTTGCATCAGGCCTCTTTAGCCGACAACCCCCCCCCCCCCATTCCCCGTACCCCCATAAAACCCCCCTCCCCTCTCAGGGCGTATGTAATATATATGGATGCCAGCCTCACCCCCCCCACCCGACCCCCGCAGGCATGATTTGCCCTGACCTGGTGTTCAAACTTGTTTACAAAAGACGCACAGTCTGGGTCGGCAAATAAATTTCAAGACAAGCTAACTAAATCCGAGAGACTAGTGTGGTCTATTCGTGGCTCCCATCGTTCAATACATCCATATCGCCGAAGTGGGTTTTTGTTCGTGAAGGGGGTCGTCCCATCCCGCCACCACCCCGACCCCCCAGGGTGACCCCTAACCTTATTTAAGCTAACCACAGAATCCAGAACACGATTGTTACTTTTGTTTTTGATTTTTTTTTTTCCAATCCCCATCTGAGGATCCTAGATTTTGACATCGGTATTTCTGTGCCAATTATATTTCCTTTTGTTGCATCTGCCGTCCAGTGTTGCGGGAGATAATTTGGTCTGAATTTTTTGTTCAACAACGGAATTAACGCCCGTTTGTCGGACGCATTTTTTCCCAGTGGTCTGACCTTGATGTTGTTGACCTTGTTGTTGTTGTTGTCATCTCCCTGGCCACGCTCAGCACCCCCTCTCCCCCCCCTCCCCGAGTCGCTATTAAACAGATAGCTAGCTGACCGTAAATGTCATTCCATTATTATGTTCCTGGAAAAAGTCGTCTTTATTTAGAGACTTGATGACGTCATGTACTTGTAGTCATGTCGTCATCGTACTTTGCTAGGCAGTGTGTATGCTTTCCTTCATAGAGGAAGCTAGGGTGTCTAAACGTACCGGAAGGCTGTAAATAGCACCCGCCCTTTATTTAACAGGGGTACATTTCAAGATTGTTGGACTTATTCTAAGCTGTCGGTTTCACAAAGGTGAATCACATTTTTGCTCTCTCTTTATTTCAGGGCATTTTCTGACATTCAAATTGGTATCTATCGAAAAATCCAAAAATCTAGAGAACTGTACAAAGATCTAGAGAAATGTACAAAGATCTAGAGAAATGTACAAAGATCTAGAGAAATGTACAAAGATCTAGAGAAATGTACAAAGATCTAGAGAAATGTACAAAGATCTAGAGAAATGTACAAAGATCTAGAGAAATGTACAAAGATCTAGTGAAATATCCAAATTTTCTCCGACACACCAAATGTGCCCCAGACACACCAAATGTGCCCCAGACACACCAAATGTGCCCCAGACACACCAAATGTGCCCCAGACACACCAAATGTGCCCCAGACACACCAAATGTGCCCCTTTTGAATATTCACCCAACTTGGCTGTTATAAAATCTGTACAAAATTCCATGTGTTCAACAACTAAGGCATTACAATCAGATCAGATTGCTGCTGGAAAAATTCATACGCCTTTTAATGTGATTTTTTTTTCCTTCTCTAATTAAAGTATTGATTTGTATGCAATTTCAGGTCTCGAGCTCCTAAAACAATTGGGGGAAACATGGGACTATTTTTTCAGAGAAATTTTACCAGTTCTGCAAGCCATTCTCTACCCCCTGTCCTCGTCACTGGTAAGTCGCGTGCCGTAACACGTTTGCTGTTGCTTGAGTACGATTCAGTCTTAATTACATTACCAGCTTGTTGTTAACAATACATTTCTATTTGCTCCGACTTTGAAATGTTCAAGTAGATGGTGTAACAAATATAGTGTTAACTTTTTGTAGACGGTGTAACAAATATAGTGTTACCTTTATTATACTTTATTTTATTTTTTTGAACAGCGGGCGCAGTCCGCCAAAAATGTCGGACCTGTCCGCTAGAAGTTAGTGGACGCTTCATGTTAGGGCTGTGAAAAATTTGAAAACGGCAACTGCCCGGGTACCCGCCGTCGACCCCAAGTAGCCAGGTTTCCTAAAAATTAGGATTTGCTCAGCGCCCAAAAAAAATTCTCGCCACGGCCCTGTTTCCTGCATCAGCATTTCACAAATGATATTTTTATTTTCAAATGTCGGCCGGATTGGACTATTCCGGAGTGTTGTCTAAATGTCTAACCGAACTCTGGGCAGCCGCATTTTAAAAACTAAACATTGTGAAGATGTACCTAGCTCTCTTATCGGTATCACATGATAGACGTTATTTTCAAGCTTTCCCCGGGTGCTAATTTTTACATTACAGTCACTACCTAAACTGACGTGTTTTCATGTTCTCTTCAAATTCAGAGCAAAGAAGAAACAGTTCGTTCCCTTTCATTACTGGCTTTCAGGAACATTGTTGTGCTCAAGGTGAGCGTCAAAGGTCAGTGCTTCATGAGGTGTCACGTTATTTTGTGCTTTTAACTTTATGTTTGTATAATTTAATCGACTAATTGACTATTTAAAAATAGAGTCTTTGTTGTTTATACTGTTAATTCTTTATTTCCACAGAGGCTTTAGACTCGGTCAGCAAGGGGGACTACCCAGTGAATATACCTCAGATGTTGTTAGTCTTACAGGTAAGGGAGACGATCAGTTTTACATTTCGTTGCTTTGAATCGAGTTCGTTTGGTTTGTTTTTATATTTGTCCATTATATTTACATATTTTATGTTGAGTTTAAGTTGTGGTTGTTTTTTTTTTTTTGTTGTTTTTTTTGTGGTGATATTATTAAGGTTGCCAGGTGTCCACTATTTGAGAGGACAGTCCGCTTTTTTTTTCACATTATGTTCACTATTTTTTTTTCCCAAAATAGTGAACATTTTTTTAATCAAAAGCTTTATGATGAAATGGTAAGTAATCTAAAGCTGTACTCTCTAAGAGAATAAGGGTAGTAGATTCGCTTATTGTCTTTTTTTTTCCATAAGTTACAATGTTACATATTATTATAATATATTTTATGTTTTGAATTTTAAGTAAAGTTTTGAAGTGATTATTTTAATACGTGTTAAAATGTTTGTAAGAAAATATATAATTTAATTGTAAATTTTTAAAATTTATTTTTACTATTTAAACTTCCCCCCCCCCCAACCCCTTTCCTTTGTCCGCAATATTTTGGAAGCAGACCTGGCAACCGTAGTTATTATTGGTGACTTCTTTTTTACCAAAGCATCTAGATTTCTCCAAAGATATTCTCTGCTCGTAGCACAATTCAAAGCACTGAAACTCATTTGCAATTATTTTAACCCATATATTACCGGTACATTTAAGTTTATCCTTTTAAAATTAACAAAGATAATTTAAGTGTTAATTATTTTCAAATTAATTTTGTTGTTCTAACTCCCTCTCTGTCTTCTCCCCCACAGAGTATACAAGACAATGTCTTCCTCTCAGAGAATCAATTCCTGCTTGAAAAACTTGTTGCCAGAGTGGTCTGCCCCTACATGGGTCAGAGGGGTGTCTACGAAGGAAGCCCAGATCCCGTGATTAAAGTCAAATTAAAACCTATTCCATTCAACATTCCCAATGTTATTGTATCAGGTAGGACAGCATGGAGACCGGACGCTATTCTTTGGAATAATTTATGTATTAAACAAATATATCTTTTTGTTAAACCCAATAATTACTTTCTATGCTCTTCCCACATGTATTGGAATAAAAAAAAAATGAAAAATTAATATGAACATCTTGCTGATCCTTGCATAAATCACTGACTAATCTTTAAGCCTGACATTTTTTAATCACACCGGTACTGAAAATTTCTATCACCCAAAAAATATTTAAATAAAAATTGGGGCTCATAAAAAAAAAAAGAAAAGATGTGCAGATAAGCTTATTGTTGCAGTGACTACCCAGTTTGCTAAGCATGTGGAACTATATCATTTGTTTTTTAATAGCAACTTTTGAAATGGTGTTTTTTTTCTAAACCATCCCAAAATACAAAAGCTGCCAAACAATAATTTATCTATCTTTCTTTGCTTTTAAAATTTTGAAAATCCTTAAGAGTATAAACAATATCTCATTCTGTGAATCAAAGTTGAGCTTTGACATTTAAATGTTCAGATGATGACAGATAAACCAAGCTAAGAGAAACTTTGAAAATTAACCTTTCAACGTTCAGATTTAGATAACAATAAACCACCAAAGCTAAACTTCGTCTTTTAACTTTTTCAACTTTCAGATAACGACAAATACACCAGCAAAGCCCAGTACAAACTGGACAACCCCACCTCCCCTTCTCCTGTTGTAACCCGCAGAGGAGCCTTCCAAGACCTGAGCGGCCTGAAGAAGTTGAAGCCAGTTTTAGAACACATCTATGATGGTGGCAGACGGCACAGTATCATGTCTTGATATCAGATCAACTCGTATCTGTACATTTTAATGGTATCATTTTCTTTTTGTACAGTTTATTTCATGTCATAAAAAATATTTATTTGTTATATATATTTTTTTAAATACATAATTTTATTTATGTAAGTTATAAAAATGATTGAGTCCAGATTACATGTTTGTAACTAAATTAGTTATAAAATATCATTTCAAATGTTGATATTGTAAATAATCTATTATTAAATATTATTGTATAATTCTGATATTACAATGTATAATTCTGGAGTATTTTAATCCTACTTTACTTTAATTAATATTCTGAGTACTTAAAAGCTTTGGTGCCAATATAAAGATGGAAATTAACATATATATTTTTTAACAAATTATTGGTTTTGATTAATTTGTTAAAATAAAAAGCTTCAACTTAATTTAAATGCTGGCAACCTAATTGAAAATTCTGACTAATAAATATGTTCTGCCTAATATTTTAGAGCATTTTTTACACATTTTGTAAGTGATTAATGGAGGTAAATTGTAATTTAGTCTGTGGCCAGTTAATATTTTTTATGAAAGGGCATCTGGGATATGTATGTAAGAATCACGACAATGTCTAACTTAAATTATGTTAAAAAAATTAAAGAATTTCTTGAAAGATTTTACATTAAATAAAATTTCTGGACTCATAAGTGGAAGAAATCAAAATATTTAGGGTCAAGAAAGTTTGTGACAACACAGGAAGCCATATTTATTTATCTCAGGCACAAGTTGAACATTTTTATTGTTTATGTTTAATTTCAGTTATCACACGTTAGATGTCCTCAGCCTTCTTCTTCTTTTAAAATGATTTTTAAATCTATATCAATTAGCTCAAATTATGTTTAAGCAGAGAGATTTTATTGTGGGCTGTGGAAGTAACAAGTCACTGCTGTCTTGCCCTGTATGACCTCCTCTGTATGATTTGTTTTTTTGTTTTGTTTTAAAATTAATTTTAGATATAGATTTAATTCAATTCAATATTGAATTAATTTTTTAAAATGTGATCACTGATGAAATAGCCTGAATATTTATATATATATATATATATATATATATATGTGTGTGCCCATGCAAGTTACCATATGTGTCTGTGGAGCGGTCATTCATGATGGATTAATTGCTCTATTGAATGTGTTGCCTGATTTTACAGTGATTTTGAATTGCATGTTATTTAAACAATGATTTTTTTAAAGATTTATTTCTAATGTTTATCTTAATAATGACTCAGTTACTTAACATTGTCATTAAACCTGGCCAATGAAGACTATGATTTTTCCTTTTTCTTTTTTTCTTTTTTTAAATACGGTAAACTTGAGTGCCGGGTAATCATTCTTGAACAACTGGTGCTTGAAACATGCATATAATAAATATATCTATAATAATTCCACATTTGACTTTTTTTGTATATCTTTCTGAGAAAGTGTTTGTATCATCATCAAGATGATGGGGATATTTTCTTTTCCTTTTTTCTTTTCAAACATTTAAAATTTTAAACGACGTAAGTAATTTTGTTCTTCACATGCGAAGGTGACTAACATTGTATTTGATAGGTAGCTTGTGGGTCCTCTTTGTGCTTGGACAGATTGCCAGCATGTAGGACACAAGGCGTTTTGTGTGATCTTAGTAGTATTGAAGGAACTTCTGTTCTACTTTGCTGCATGCCTTGTGCATGGGCGTAAGCAGTATGGTCATTCTACAACAGCACGTCTACCTCACCAGCTTGTGCGATCCATCGTGTTTTCTTTGAGTGCAGGTTGATGTCCATGAATTTTTGGGAGGAAGCTTCTAGGAAAATTTTTAAAGTTTGATTTGTTCCTATCCCCTAGCTGAGCGTTTCCAGTTGCATAACGCACAATAAATAAGATACCCTTGCAATTGCTGTACATTATATGTGGCAATTAAGTTTGAAATGAAGCTGAAAGTCATAAAGGAACGAAATTGATGCTGCTCAAATAATTTGAGAACATGTAATGGAAATGAGATTATTACAACCCAAGTTTCTAATCCTGGCTCGGCAACCTTCCCCACCCCCACCCCTGGGACACCCTTTCGAGGGGCTGCTAATGGTGATAGCTATCATCGCACGAAGAGAAAACGGTTAGGCTATACAAAGGGTGATAATAGCAGGTTCCATGATAATATTACAATGACAGTGATCAATCAACAGCTATTCTGCGTTGTTTGCAGAAAAGGATAATTTAGCTGACAAATGGAAAAGAAAGCTTGCAATAAATTTGTTAACAATAATAATATTAAAACCTTATCTCCTCCAACTCTTTCATAAATTCTGAATTGAATTTTAATAATTCATAAGAGCAGCTCTAGTTAAACATCATTTTATTTCGGGGGAGGGGGAGAGATTTGGTGGGGGGGGTGGGGTAATGTAGCCAACCCAAGGGCATATTGTTATTGGTATTCCCGTTCGAAATATGGAGTACGACCACTTGGGGAAAAAAAAAATATTTATTTTTGGATTGAAAATAGCAAATAATGGTTTGGTTCCACTTTCATAATAGTTGTGGTCATCGTGATGATGATCTAGCAACGAAAACATGGATTGGATGACGATACTGAGAATTTAAACGAATTAGTTTATTTAAATTGAAAAAAGAAAAAAAACATTTTTTTAAAGAAAATTATTGGTTCTATACACAAGTCGTGTTTAGAAACAACAAGCATCCGGCATCCACGGGCAAGCCACTCTGATTTACAAAAAAGTTGGACGTACCCAATAAGGGGATGCTACTACTGTACATCCCGAGCATATGTAATGCAGAATGTTTTCCCTTTATTTTTAACATACAATGTTTTAGAACTTAAAATTCCTCAATCACATCTTAAAAGTTATAATGAGTGATGGGCACACTCCTTCCTTATATTTTCTTATCGTAATAAATTGTTCAACTTCAAAATTTAAAAAATTTGGCGTTTTGTATACATAAAGAAATACAAGCTAGTTTATAATACGTGATAGCATTATGAAGTCCTGAAGCCCAGACTAAACGAATGCCTGACAATAGAAACACATGGCTTAAGAAACAAAATACCCGTACGGAATCAGATTTTTAATTGTTCTTTACTTTTTTAAACCTCACTTTCTCTCTCTCTCTCTCTCTCTCTCACTCTCTCTCTCTCTCTCTCTCTCTCTCTCTCTCTCTCTTTTTATATATATATATCTATATATATTATAAATATATATATATATATATATATATATATATATATTTTTTTTTTTTTTTTTTTTTTTTTTTACCTCTCTCTCTCTCTCTCTCTCTCTCTCTCTCTCTCTCTCTCTCTCTCTCTCTCTCTCTCTCTCTGTTTATATATATATATATATATATATAATATATATATATATATATATATATATATATATATATATACATATATATGTATATATATATATATATCCCTTTCTCTCTCTATCTCTCTCCCTCTTCTCCCCCCCCTCTCTCTCTCTCTTGCTCCCTCCTCTATCCCTTCACTCTCCCGTCACTCTTCTCATGTTGTATAACGCAGCTCTGTATAAAATTTAATAATAAATTATGAATTTTAGACGTGAACCGATCACGGCCACGCGTGTCAGGAAGTCTTCTAACCTAGTTCTACCGAACAAAGAAGATAGTGCTGCTCTTCGTTTTTGTATGACTTTGAATGATACATTTCTCTCTGTAATTTCCTGTTGCGTATCCAGTTACATAACTATAAAAAATAAGCTCTTCTCGGCTGGCGTTGTGCTGGGACCAGTGCTGGGACCAGAATAATCTTTTCAACGTTTTAAATCCTTTATATAAAAACTTCGCTTTTGTTCGTGTGTTTCTTTCTGGGCGGGTGTGTGGCAAAAATCTTTGGACGGCTAATTGAACCTCTTGCCGTCAACATATCGAGTTGAAACTTGGCATATAGACGCGTTGCCGATGACAGCACGTTCTGTTAGATTTTCACTCCCACTCCCACCGCCCCCCCCCCCCCAAAAAAAAAAAAAAAAAAAAAATCAAGTTTTCCTGGTTTTTAAGGGGATGATGAAGGAAATATGATGGCACTGATTTCACGAAATAAAATTCCCCGATAAGTGCGCTAAATCTGAGTCGTGATGATATCGCAAGTACGTTCGGTGCGTAATGTTTTCTTTTTTTGTTGTTTTTTTTCTGAAATAGTTGGTGAAAATAAATCTGTGGTGTAAAAGCCGGTGGGACATTAAAATATTAATATTAAATTTTAAAATTAAAAATGAATCTGTAGAATGTATACGAAAAACTTTGCGTTTAGTTGTATAATTATTTCTTTGAAATCCCGATGAGATTTAATTTAAAACAAAATGAAAAGCGTTGATGTCATTTATTTATTAAATATATTCAAAATATAATACCCAGTCCCCTGTCAAAATTTCAACATTCAATACCCAGTCCCCTGTCAAAATTTCAACATTCAATACCCAGTCCCCTGTCAAAATTTCAACTATCAATACCCAGTCCCCTGTCAAAATTTCAACATTCAATACCCAGTCCCCTGACAAAATTTCAACTTTCAATACCCAGTCCCATGTCAAAATTTCAACTATCAATACCCAGTCCCATGTCAAAATTTCAACTATCAATACCCATTCCCTGACAAAATTTAAAAAAAAACAACAAATAATCAAAAGAAAAGAATAACAAACCAATGACATGTACAATTTTACAATTCTTGCCTAGAATCGGGTGACAATTTTACCTGTACACCGCTTGTCACACCTTGACCTCCCGGTATTCTGGGTCAAAGGAGTGGAGTGTTCAAGCGTTAAGACCCGGGACAGGCAATCATTGGGGACCAACAAAGTGACTCAGAATGACACATGACAGTAACGCTGATCGTGATGTCGGGCCAGCAGTGTGTGTATATTTTTAGACCCGTCTTATAAACGCGATAACAATAAGTATAAGGGGATTAAGACATTCTATTCTTGTGTGTGTGTATTTTTTTTTCATCGTGACAAGAGAGTGCTCGGCCCTTTCCGTTGTTCACTGACGGACTAAAACTCTCCAAAAAAAAAAAACAACACAAACAAAGCAAGTGACAGTACTCACTGACCCAGGTTTGTTTATCTTGTGACACTAGTGTGTGTGCTGTGTTCGCTTCCTAGCCTCCCACTGCT